AACCTGCTGTCATTGACGGACTTAACATATCTTCCAGATATTCTCTTTATTATTTCGAAAATATGTAGGTTCCCCTCACGATGTTTTCATTCACCGCTGAGCACGCAATAAGTCAGCACTTAAAATTAACAAATTCATTGGCGCTGGCACCGGGGATCGAACTCAAGTTGCTAGAGTATGTTGAATTTAAAGCGTGCGCCCGAACAGTGAGCTATCACGGCTCCCTGTTCGGGTTCTCAATGCACCAATATAAATAAAATTTAAATTATTTAACTAAATATATTACATGCAAAACAAACCGCAGAGTTTATTGGTTCTCTGAAATGTTCTAAATTCTTGATGGTACTTTTTGACGTTGACTTAAAACCAACCTGCATTAAATACGCGATATTCGATATTAGTTAACAGTTATGATTAGTGGTGGAAATAGACTAATATAATTTTATACATGCGTTCATCTAAATTGTATGTAGGGAACATAATTCGAAATCGACTATTCGATTATGGACATGTATGTACACAAGACAGTGCTACGTAAATCGAATGTACGTGACATTGTTAAATGCGAGGAAAACTGGACCTACCTTTCACTTTTGGCCACGAATAATCTTATCACTAATCTTATAAGGCGTACGTGAAAAGTGATACTCTCATCGTATCGAATAAAGATGTTAGACGGTGTTATCGAACGAATTATTTATTTGCGCAGTGGAGGATCTAAAAATACTAAAAAAGCACCGGTCATTGCCCAATTGATGCAAGTGCAGTACGATGGTGACTGGGGGTGTAACAAACGGACAGAGTAATATAACATGATGTAACAAACATTTATTCGCAACAAACGTCTGTACGTTTTACTCTGTATTACTCTGTAGTACACGTCAACATTTTCGACATAGCGTTTAATGTCTTCACTGATGTTAACAAAAAGGCATTGTGCTGATCGCGATAGTAAGTAGAGAAGGCTCAAGGTGATCAACTTCGACTGCATAACTCGTGGCCGTCTGTGTAATTAGCGGAAAGAATGGCGCGGTATTTTATCTGTATTACCTTACGTTTTACTAATTGATGTTGCTCTTTTTTTTTACGTGGGAAAAATCTTTAATGGATCCCCCGCCACATTGTGGGTAGTCAGGGATATGTGGAGTCCCCAGGAACACGGGGGTACGCACTAAAAAACCCGTCAAGTGCGAGTGGGACTCGTCAATAAGGGTTCCGGACCGTTATCTATAAAAACGGCAAAAAAATCATATCTGTTGTATCGGAGCCGCACTTAAATATTTTTTATGACCTAATAACCTGCGACGACGAGATCCCCGTCCATTCTCCCTACAGCAAAAACTGTGCAGATCAAAAATATGTATTAATTTATTATTTTATATATATATATATTTATATTGAAAAAAATGAAAAAAATAAATAAATATGGACTCACTTCTGCACCGTTCCCAGCCCGGTGACAGCCCAAAAAGAAAATTAAAAAAAAAAACATGTTAATCAAAAAAGAGTACGGACCTCGAGTCTGTAGACTTACTTTGTTAAAATAAAAAATATAAAAAAATATTTTTTATTCTGTTTTTAGTATTTGTTGTCATAGAGGCAATAAAAATAGATCATCTGTGAAAATTTCAATCGTCTAACTATCAATGTTCATGAACAGCTGACAGACGAACATACAGACAGCGGAGTCTTAGTAATAGGATCCCGTGTTAATCAAGGCCCTCCGCCACGACAAAGCGGGAAACCGGACTTTTGGTACCCTGGGAAGCCTTGCCTATTTATGGGGTAGGGCCACGTAAGTGTTCACTGTTGCATGAACGAACAGGTCCGTCCGTGGAAACACCACGAGCTCACAGAAGACCAGCGTGAAATGGAAGTGTTATACTGTGTATGAGTGTGGTAACCGCGGCCCACTCAAGGGTGGCTCTTCTGCTACCCTACGGTTTTTGCAAATGTCCATGGGCGGCAGTTACCACTTAATATCAGATGAACCGCCACCTTCTGAGATTAAAAAATAGTACTTTTATCGCAATCTTTACCATGTCACGACTTCGATACAACTCGATAATAGGATAGAGCCTCAAGTAATCTCTATTTGCTAAGTTTGGGTTAAAAGTCAAGTTTGTTTATATTTAAAATACTATTAATAACAATGTATAACTCGGATCACTGAACCCAGAGATAACCTTACAGGACATTAAAGTAATAATGTAACAACCCGGCACCAAATAGAGACAGTCGTCATTGGGAATATTATCAACAAGTTTGCCATAAAAGTAACACTTATACAGCATGGTGTTACAAACGCGACCTTAAATGAGGCCACTTCTAACGCTGCTTGCCAATAATCATAATAAATATAAACGTTAAAAAAATCATAATTAAAAAATAATAATTTTAAACAAACTAATTAAATAAAAAAGAAACAAAATGTGTACCATCCTTTACAACTACAACTGACTGTTCATTCATTCAGAGACTTCTCATTCGTAGCCACAACGTCACGTTACGAGTCTCTCCTTCTAATAGTATGTTTTATCTCTTTTAAATCATTCAAACAATTCATATGATTTGTGACCTTTACATATGAACTTTACATTACAGTTTTATACGTAGGGGTGTTTTAAAATTATTTGTTTTGGAAATTTTAATAACTCTGTAAATATTGATGTCTAAAATAAGTAAATGTTAATATTTTAAAATGTTATCCTCTTTATGTGTGTTTATTTGGGTCGCGGTGGTAGCGCCACTTTGTATACAAGCTCTTACGTCGAATTAACGGGATACAATTTTTTATGTTAAAAGTTGGCAAACGAACAGACGGTACACTCAAAGTTAAGTGAATACCGCGAAAACTCAAATTCAAAGTAAAAAATAAAAAGGGTCATTATAATATAAATTAACACATTAATGACAATAACCCCGGGGAATGAGTTGATCGCTCCCAAGCTACTTCTAATAGAAAAAAATCAGTTGTTTTTTTTTATTGATCTAAAGTTAGGATTAGGTTTATTAGATAATATGTAATTTTAGATAGATTTAATCTTGTAAATATTAAAAATCAGTTGTATAATATTTTAGTTTTGAGAAAAAAAATTACAAAAATGAGGATACCTACGGAGTTACTTTCGCCTGTTTCTTCTACGTTACAGAAACTTCATTACCAAACCATAGCCTTTTTTCCAAGAATACAATAATCCTCAAATTACTTACTACCTTTTGATATGCTATGAACGTCTACTAATTTAGTTCGGCTAATGTTACAGATAAGAGATTAGACTCGCACCGTGTCTAAAGACCGCGGAGGGTCGAATTAGTTCGCGAATCGGCACCGTGCTAAGCGCTAATAATCAGCGGGTTATGGTTATTAAAATCGATGCACGGCTACTAAGAAATCCCCAAAGTAACTTTTTTATGTGAGAAGGTGGCAAACGGTTCACCTGATATAAGTGTATGACATGGCCCATGGACATCTGCAACACACGTAGGTTTGTAGATGCATTGCCAACTTTTAATAAAGTGGACTACGGCTACCTCACTCACCAGACGAAACGCAGAGGTATAACACTCACTTCACGCCGCTCTTCTGTGAGGTGGCGGTACTTGCCAATTTTTATTCACATCATTGCATCACACAACATTTTTCTCTCTGGACTAATAAATAGTTTTACTAGCTATCTGCTACAGTCTACACAAATCGAGTTGACAATGCTGATAATCGATTATCAATCAGTGATTACCACAACGGTCACTTCACTGTTGAGTCAAGTGCCTTTAAAGTTGGAACAAGTAGATCAGTATGTTGCTGCTAACCAGAGTAACGACGGTAAAGAATTTATTAGTTCTAATGAACCGTCATGTTAGGTGTCTTATTAAAGCAAAGAGTGCAAACAATGATCAAAGAATTATTAAATAATTCTTGGCACACGTGTTTTGGTTTTACGTGTATGATTTTACAACTCCAAAGACCTGACGATATGAGTTTTTGAAGTGCCAAAAATTATGAACAACTGTATGTTATTGACTCGACACTGACATTCAAGGACATACGCGTACTGAATAAACTGATAATGTAAACCGTCTCTGCCTAACTAATGTGAACATCAATGTAACACTTTTTATGGAAAATAAAAAGATTGAATTTAAATACAATTGAATTCGCTTCAATTCGTAAATGTGCTAATTGCAAACTAGTTGATATGACTGTTTTTTTTTTTGTTGTTGCTTTATAACGTTAATCCACTATAGTTTATGGTACTGTTATCTCTGGGTTCAGTGACCCGAATCATACATTGCCATTAACGATATTTTTTATGACTCCGTGGCGCAGTTGCCAAGGTGTTTGTTGGTTTCGGCGTCGAGGGTCGTGTTTTCGATCCCCACACGGGACAAGACAAATATTTGTGTGTTTGTCCACATGCAATTTATGTTTGTAAAACGTCCTTACAACACAGGATAATATTATTTTAAACTAAGGGCAATGTTTTTAAGAAATAAAAAAACATTGCTTATTTAATATAATATATTATTGTGCGGGTTTCATTTAAAAAAATAACTACTTATTAGTTATAATGCAGACTTTCACTCGGATGGCACGAAAATTCTTAGATAATGTGTAATGTAAATGAAACTAATTTTACGGATTTATCGCGTTTATTTTTAACGTCTGGAACTAAAATTGAAAATAGACGCGATAAATCCGTAAAATTAGATTCATTTATAATGTGTAATCGCGTAAATACAAGAAATTATAATGTGTAATGTAGTTCGATTCAATGTTGTTAATCTTGTATTTTTAATAATATTGGGATTTTAACATCACACAACCTACGGGGGCGACGCAAGACCTTTTTGCGCGGATGAAATCATACGGGATAGCTCGTGACTAATAGTTTGTCACTCTATGGCGTCGGAGATGAACTCTAACTGACGTCCATACCACGGAAACGGTATGGTGTAATTGCACCGTCAGACGAATTACGCAAGACGCGAGGTCAGCCATGTGCCTGGACGGTGAAAGCCGGTCTTGCACAACGGCGCCTTTCCGTCTAAACAACATTAGACCTTACCCCGGCCGCTTTCGGTACAAATTAGCGAGTTGCACTCGTGCCAAGACGTTGGGTAATGAGACACGTTGTAATTTCAACTTTGCACTTTACACGATAGAGTCTAAACTCAAAGAACGCTCTTGAGATCAGTCTAGGCATGTTGTGTACGTAACCCATGGTAGCCTTATTAACAATAATCAATTTAATTTCTTTTGGTTTGTTTGAAACAATGGCCTATAGGATAATCTGTTTCGTTTTACTACCTAACATAAATTTCATGTGGACAGACACCCAGATTCAAAACAATTATGTGTGGACCACACAAATAGTTGTCCTATATTGGAATTAAATTCACGAATCATCGCATAACTCCTCTTCGCGCAGTGTCCTGTAGGCAATCAGACCCATTGTACTTTTACGTATTTAATACGGTAGAGATAGTAATCATTAAAATACTATCGGATTAAGAGTTTAAACATCGCTTTGCTTTCGGCCCTAAGAAACTTTTCTCTCGTTGCAGATACAAAAATGAACGCCGCGGCATTCAAGACTGCAGACACCGGTCTTCATCACCACCATGACCACGACCACGACCACGGCGACGACTGCACGTCACCGCATGCGATGACGGTGAGTGGTCGAAAAATTGCGTAACTCCCTTACGTATCCTTACCGTACCCAAAAAGTAATTATCATTTTTTTAATGTGAAAAACTGGCAAACGAGCTGGCGGTTCACCTGATGTTAAGTGATAACCGCCGCCCATGGACATTTGCAACACCCGTAGGGTTTCAAATGCGTTGCCACCTTTAAATAAAGTGGGCCCCGGCTACCTCACTCACCAGACGAAAAGCAGAAGTGTAACACTTCTACTTTGCGCAGGTCTTCTGTGAGGTCGTGCTTACGCGGACGGATCTTTTTTTTTTTGTTATCGGGGGGAAATCTTCAAAAGATACCCTGTAATGATATGGTAGGGTTATGTGGGGTTCGTACCCACTAAAACCCCCTCGGTGGCCACCTTCTGTACCTTTGCACGGACTCAGGGATCTCCTACGGAACGCACCGGTGTCCCTCGGTACTGCGCGTGAGCACGCCTCGGAGAAGGGTAAAACTTCCCCGATTCCCACGCCGTCTTGCAGCAGCACGAGACCACTTCGTGCTGCTGCCAATCCGTGTCCTCTTTTAGTCGCCTTGTACGATGGCAGGGGATACCTTAGCTCTATTCTACGAGCCCGAGACTGCAGGGCTGACTACCCGGACGGACCTGCCCATTCGTGCAACAGTGAACAATGTTGCGTGGCCCTACCACAGTTAAAAATATATAAATCGCTCGTGAACCCTCACAGTAAAGTTTATGGGCCTCTATGGGAAACTGGGTTCTAGAACAATTTTCAATAATTAAAACATGTAGAAAAGTAAGTGCAGAGATTAGCACTATAAAAAACTTTAAAAATTTTCAATAAATTAATTGGACATCCCGACTATGTTGGTTGACTTACAAAATTAATTAGTCGTCATATTTATAACATCGTCGATATTCTTCTACGTGGTAGAGCCACGCAAGTCTTCACTGTTGCACGAATGGGCAAGTCCGTCCTTGTAAGTACCTACCACGACCCGGCGTGAAGTGGAAGTGATATACTTCTGCTTTTGGTCTAGTGAGTGAGGTAACCGGGGCTAACTTTATTAAAAGGTGGTATCGCATCTACCACGCTATAGGTTATCACTTAACATCAGGTGAACCGCCAGCTCGCTTGCTACCTTCTCACATAAATTAAACATCGATATAAGTAATGAAAACATATGATACATATGAGAAACGTAAGCCTAGCCTGGACACAACGAGGTAACGAGGTCAAGGATGAAAACTTTTTTTTCCGGAAGGGATAAAGATAGGTTTTGGTTTTAATTTACCTTAGTTTATTAATGACATGATAGTACAAATTATAATAGCTCTCCTTGTAAATCTTAGAGATGCTTCTTAACAGAAATGTCATCACGATGACATAATGACTATCTATTATGAGAACTAGCAAGCTTCATTTCTATAATTTTACTGGAGTGAAACATTTATATTAAGATCTTATAATTGTACTTCTGATCTGAATCAATCCAGTCATCAGATAAGTGTCGTACTATTAACATATTCTCAAATTGTTTAAGGTTAAATACAAACATGCTTTTTAGGGTTCCATACCCAAAGGATAAAACGTGATTCTATTACTAAGACTCCGCTGTCTGTCTGTCTGACTGTCACCAAGCTGTTTCTTATGAACTGTGGTAGTTAGACAGTTGAAATTTTCTCAGATGATGTATTTCTGTTGCCGCTAAAACAACAAATACTAAAAAATTGAACAAAAGAAAGGTGTTCTTAAGAATTTCTTTCACCAATGTACAATTTACGGCAAAAACTTCATAAAACAGTTTTATACTGATTTTTTGTTTGTATGCGAATATTATACATCGTTAAATGAAACTATTTTACGGATTTTACGTTAAAATTTCTAAATTCTCATCGGTAAAAATTTATTAAACGCGATAAAAATCTGTAAAATATTTTCATTTAACAAACAATTTTATTTCATGTATATAAAAGATACTGACGGAGAAACCGCGTGGCAAACAATCATATTTTACATAAAAAAATCGTTGTTTATTTTCATGAAAGGCATACATTTTCTATAATTAGGACGTTATCAATACGCATGCTTCCGATTGTCCCACCGCACGCCTTATCTACGGTCGTGGGAACCGCCACCACAATAAATAAACGTACTTACCACACAATCATGACAACTAGTTGCGAACCGCCGAGAAAGACTCCACTCAATAATCAATATCAGCCTATTGCCGTCCGCTGCTGAACGTAAGCCTCCCCCAAAGTGCGCCAACTATCCCGGTCCTGGGCAGCCCGAGTCCATCCGCTGCCCGCCACCTTTCTTAAGACGTCAGCCCATCGTGCTGCAGGCCGTCCCACACTTCGTTTTCCTAACCGCGGTGTCCACTCTAACACGTGTCGGCTCCAGCGACCATCAGTACGTCTGGAGACATGGCCAGCCCACATCCACTTCAGCGTGCTAATTCTGCGCGCAATGTCGGTAACTTTAGTTCTCTGGCGAATGACTTCGTTTCATATCTTGTCCGCCAGAGAAACCCCAAGCATTGCGCGTTCCATCGCCCGCTGAGCGACCTTGAATTTGTGGACCAGCCCCACGGTGAGTGTCCACGTTTCGGCTCCGTAGGTCATTACTGGTAGGACGCACTGTTTAAACCCTTTGGACTTGAGGCATTGTGGTATTGACGACTCACAACGTGTCGTAGCTTCCCGAATGCCGCCCAGCCTAAGCGTATTCTTCGGTTGGCCTCTTTCTCAAAGTTGTGCCGGCCTAGTTGTAAAGTTTGGCCAAGGTAGGAGTATTCCTGCACAACCTCAAGCATAGCGCCATTCACGACCACTGGTCTCAGGATCACATGACATTGGACATAATTTTCTTCTTGTCAAGGTTCATACCGAGACCCACTTGTCTCGAAGAATCGCTCAGGCTGTTGAGCATGGCTTCCAGATCTTGCAGAGATTCTGCCATGATGACAATGTCGCCAGCGAATCGCAAGTGTGTTATTAATTGGCCATTAATATTGATGCCCCGTCCGTTCCAATCCAGCGGCTTAAAGACGTCCTCCAGTGCATTGGTAAACAGTTTCGGGGAAATCACATCCCCCTGTCTTACCCCACGATGCAACTGGATTGGCCTTGTGCTTTGACCTTGTACTTGGACGGACATTGTTGCGGTCTCAAATAGACGTCTCAACACTTGGATATATCGACAGTCAATTAGGCATCTCTGCATGGATTCTAGAACAGCCCAGACTAAAAAGACATACAAAGAAAGACTCCATCCACATTACCTCCTAAATGATAAAGATAAAGGCACTATATATAAAAGAATTCAAAGGACATTTATCATTTATAATATTCGAAGACATGCTATATGTGCTGCTATACGCAGATAGATTTAAATATACAAATAACGTTTGCGAACAATACTATCTTTAATGTGACTAAGACTTTGATGCTGGCCGCTTCTGACCGATCCAAATGGAATCCTTAGTTCGGTAGCGGACGCTTACAGGCTCGATAATACATTTTCAAGCGACTTCAAAAAAGCAGAAGGTTCTCAATTCGACTGTATTTTTAAACGGTTTTATTTAGCTCGACCCGTACGGTATTTGTTTGTTTGAGTCTAAATTAGAAATTGAAATTTAAGCATCTTGCCGTTGTCAGATTGATCTGAAATTTGGTACACACATTTAATTTAGATGACAATACATTATTAACAAAAAAAATTTAACAAAAAAAAAAAAAAAAAAAAAAAAAGTTTTTAAACGGTTTTATTTTTATGTTTGTTACTTCAGTCAACTTTCGGCTGAGTGGACCGATTTTGATGATTCTTTTTTTTTATTTGAGAGCCGGTGCTTCCCATGGAGTACCGTATTAAATTCATTGGTATTGGATCTTGGGTCCGGGGATGCTTGGGGAACTCCTGAAAATTATAAAATGAATACAGAGCTAGATATTTGAAGTCGGTTTTGTTTTTCGTTAATAAAAAAAAAATTGTGATAGGTCATGTGCTAAATTTATTTAGATCTTTGAGGGGAAAAGGTGGCAAACGAGCTGACGTGTCTTGTTATGAGTAATAAGCCCGTGGATCCACAATCCTTGTTTTGCCTGACTTGTATTTTGTATTAACTGATGTTTTTGCTTTCAGTCCCGAGACTATTAAAGCTTCATCTGACGCAGAACCGGTGGGCTAGCCAGAACCCACGGGTTTCGGCCCTCCGCTGTGGGTAGGGCCGCGCATGTGCTCATGCGTGCGTTTAACTACGACGTGTCATCTAAGGGCCATCGAAGTTGCGGTTCGGACCGGGACCCGATGGCCGTCGACTATGTTTTTAGCTAATCGGTGGCTGGGGGCGGTAAGAACCGCCCTGGAACGCGGGTGTACCTTGTGTACGCGTTGTGTTGGTCTCGCCGTGCTCGGAGGCGAGGGCGAACTATTGTGTTTGTTGTTACACTAGCTGTGAGTGTAGTGTTATCCGGCGGGACCCCGACGGTGGGTCCAACGTATCTAAGTCCCCTTCCTCGACCGGGTCGATGAGGACGTTTCGCATGCGACGCTTGTTGACGTTCGCGTTTGTGTCGGGCTGATAATTTGCTGCGCTTACTATCAGAGGATTGGGATGAACATTTTACCTGACGAAGCACAGTACTTCTACTCACATTAGTTTTTTTTTTGTGGGGTAGTACTTATGCTGTCGATCCTTGGCGAAGGTGTTGCGCAACTCTGCCATAGTACAGTCTGAGCGGTGTTCTCGTATGCAATCGCTAGCCGTTGAACGCATGATTTTGCATTTTCTGACGATGTTTTCTTGTCACTCGAGCTTATCTTAACGTGAAAGTAGCTATCTCTATAGATAAAAATGAATCGCTGAATGTGTTGCTAAGTGCAAATCTCGAGAACAGCTGAACCGATTTGGCTAATTCTTTTTGTTATAATATTCCTTGATGTACGAGGATGGTTATTACGGAGAGAAAAATTTCAAAAATTGCCTGAAAAAGTCTAAAAACAACACTTTTCTATATTCCCATACAAAGGATTCGTAATAGTCAAATTGAACTTTAATACGATACCATAAAGTTTTAGTGTTAGTGAAGGGGTTCCGGGAAGGCAATACAATTGAGTGACGTCAGTATCGTATAAATATTAATGTCAATATTTGTCATTTTGTAATAATTTTTACTAGATAGAGTGATTCAAGATGAAGGTTTTTATGCATGCCATTGTACATATAAACCTTGGCACCCGTGCGACACCGGGGCGGGTCGCTAGTATTTAATATTTTTTCCGAATTCATAACATTATAAATATAGTTGTTTATTATTTAATTAAACTATTTATTTATTATATATTTAATACATTTTAGAAGAGTTCTTTAATTTGTTCTTACATTAGTCTTAAGCGTATTAATTTAAGCGAACTCCAGATATGCTCTTGTCGATTTTGGTACCCAAAACCACAGTGGTGTCAATTGTAACTTATCTAATAAAGGGAGAATACAATATTACCATATGACATACATGTATACGGAACTGCATTAGGACATGTTCTGCAGTGTTACTTTGACGAGCCCTACTTCCCCAACGGTATTTACATTCCAAGGAAGGGGTATCCCAGGAAAGTCACTGTGTCACCTGATAAAGCTCCAGCGTTGTTAAGCATTCTGACCGGTACGCGGCTTGCGTCACCAACGCTTCGGCACCTCTTAGCAGAGAAAGCGTGCTAACTAATTCACCGTTTTCTTTTTTTTTATTATCTTTGTTTTTATGGGGTTTTTATCTATAAAGATACGCCAACCCCACAGTTACTTATACAAATCACAATAACTTACGAAATACGAATCCTTAAAATTATAGATTTATTAAACCGAGAATTACTGTTTGTTAATGACGTTTTATTGTTTCACTTTTGGGATTCGCCAATTAAATGTAAGACCAACATCTAATAAATTTATATTCAGATCTTTAAACAGCAGGTCCCTTTTATGTCGATTAACTAATTCACCGTTTTACACTGACTTTACTTAGAAAATGAAGCGATGGTGACTGAGACCCAAATAGCTGTGATATTATCGGCTTCCCGGGGCTTTAAAGTAAAAATTTATTTATTCAATTATGTAGGTTTGTTTTAAGATCATATCGAACGTCAAAAAACTACCATCGGTTCACTAATTAGACCTGACCAGAGAAGAAGCACCAATAAAATCTGAATTTTTTATCTCTTTTTTAAATGATAAAAAGTTAGGTATGGAATTATTTTGATTAGGCCCTACCGCCGGCGTCGCAAAACTAACGGTGCGAACAAACCGCTTGCAGTTCCACGCGGGCGTCTGCCAGGAGATCCTGTTCAGCAGTTGGATGACCACGAGCGCGCTGGAGCTGTTCGGCTCCGCGGTGGCGATCTTCCTCGCCAGCGTGCTGTACGAGGGGCTGAAGTACTACAGGGAGGCGCTGCACACGAGGGCCACGACGGCCACGGGAGACTCTCAGGTCAACATCACCAAGAACGAATGCGGGAACCAGGGGCCTTGCGGCGGTACCGCGGTGGTAAAGTAAGCATGCTTTCGTAAAAGAGGAGATCGGAGATGAGAGAAGACTGTAACAACAAGAGTATGGGTTTAACTGTGTTAGGACCGCGCAACAGTATTCGCTGTTGCACGGTCGTGGTACTTGTCCATCCGGGGAAGTACCACCACCTCACAGAAGAACGGCGTGAAGTGGAAGAGTCATACTACTTCTGCATTCCGTGCGGTGAGTAGCGATGACCGCAGCTAGAGGGCTAAGGACAAGCCGAGTAAAGTCAAGTAAAAGCGCCTCTTTATTGTTAATAAGAGTTTTTACATAGAAATTATCTCTCTTAACTTTATCAGAACCTTCGTTATAATTAAATACATTAAATATAAATACATTTTATTGAATACATTCCTGGTCCAAGGATTTTTCTATTTTCACAATGGTCGAGATAAAACCAACGAGTATAGCAGCGGACAGTTGATATTTCTAAATATGTGAGGTAAACATGATTCAGATTAGATTAAGTTCCGCGGAGATAGCATCCCATGTTTTCATAACACGTGGAGGGAGATATGTCGATATTACTTTACCGAGCATTTCAGCGGCCAGAAATTTGTAAATTGCAATTCAAACAAGCTAACTTGCTTACTTAAACGATAGAGATAAAATTCAATATTCGTTCGTTAAGAATTTGACACACGATTAGCTGGTTCACCTGATGTTAAGTTATGTCGCCCATGGATCTCTACAACACCTAAGGGGATGCAAAAGCATTGCAAAAGAAATAGGCTGCGTGGCAGCCTATTTCTTTTGCAATGCTTTGCAATGCTTTCTGCGGCTACTTCAATCAGAAGAAACGCAAAGTATAATACTCACACTTCACGTAAGTCGACTCCCTATCCCTGGACGAGCCTGCACATCCTAGCTACCACAGTCTTCTTCTTCTTCTAAGGCAGTAGGCGGTCCTTATGATATCGCCAAAGCTACCACAGTCAAATTGTCAAAATATTAGGTACACTCCAACACGCGCGCCTTCTAATTATCATGCTTTGTCACTTGTGACGTGTATAACTCATTGCGTTTCTTTTTTATCACGTTATATGGCGGCAAGCGCGTGAGCGTAGTTACAAATGGGAATATATTTTTAAAGAGTACAACAGATAAAAAAGCAAAGGTATACTGCTCCAGGTCCTCAAAGATCCCACGGTGTTTCCCCACTTCAGATGCCCATTCATGCAATAGTCTGTTGTAGCCTAAAGGCCCATTTACACGATGCCATTTTCTTGTACATGCAAGAGCAATAATTGAATGCAATAAATTGCGCGCAATAATTGGTTAGACCATTTGTTGTTTAGACCATGCAACTTATTTATTGCTTCAATTTAATTGTATACAACAGGCAAGAAACTGGCACCGTGTAAATGGGCCTTAAGTGTTGTAAACTACAAACATTAATTTATAAAATACGCCGTCAAACCGTGACAGATTCGGGCGCTCGTTTTTAATTAAATATATACTCGATGAAAGTGTCAATTTTAAGTGCTGACTTACGACGTGCGTAACAGTGAAGGACAATATCGTGAGGAAACCTTTTCAAAATAATAACAAGAAAAATATTTCGAAGATATGTGAGGTAAATATCCTCTTTACCGAGGATACCTTTTACCCAGCAGTGGGACACATAAGGCTATGATTTTAATTTACGCTTATTCGACCGCTGGTTATTAAAATAAACATTAGGTATACGGAAGGTGGCAAGCGAGCTGGCGGTTCACCTGATGTTAAGTGATAACCGCCGTCCATCGACATTTGCAACATCCGTAGGGTTGCAGATGCGTTGCCACCTCTTAATAAAGTGGGCCCCGGCTCCCTCTTGCGGCTTCTGTGAAGTCGTAGTACTTACCCGAACGGACCTGCCCATTCATGCAACAGCCGAAGCTGTTGCGTGCCCTACCACAGTTAAAAACAATAATAATATACATCTTATCATTTTCTTCATATTTATCTTAAAATTTTCTTGCTCTTCATTTCCAGATACTCGATGTTCTCTAGCGGTCACATAATCCAGACGTTGCTCCACATCGTGCAGTCGACCGCTTCCTACATCCTCATGCTGGTGTTCATGACGTACAACGTGTGGCTCTGCATCGCCCTGATCCTCGGCCTGGCGGTGGGCTACTTCTTCTTCGGCTGGAGGAAGAGCACGGTGGTCGACGTCACCGAGCACTGTCAATGAGCCCCAAAGAGTCCGTCGCAAGAAACGACATCGTGATAACGTGAAACTAGTGTGAGATCGCGTTAAACGATTGAGCCATCCACAAAGTACACACGTAATGGATATTTTTAAAGTTTATCTTGCCAGTATTAAATATACGTTTTGGATTCGGCTGAAACGTCGCAAATTGCATGTCGTTTTTAACATATCAGGGGATACTGACGAAATACTTCACCATTGAGTGTAATACGATATATATAATATAATAATAATTTTACAGTAAAAATTTTAAGATTGCCTCAATCTTAATTTTAAACTTCTTCTCGTCTGCAATGTTTGTTATTATTAATTTAACATAATACCAAATGCTATAATTGGTAATTTTCAATGCAAATTTAACGTTTGTTAAAAAATTTAACAAACATTAAAATGTTATACAATGACGGGTTATAGCATATTTCTTATAAAAAATTAAATATTAATAGGAAAGACGGAATGTTGTTCTAAATATGTTAAAAAAATATTAGGTACATACCTTTGTAACATTCAGATTTCAGATTACACCTTCCGCATCCGTCATTCCTCAAAAGTTATGGATGCTTGTATATAAGGCTAAAGTTCATGACAAAGTGATATTTTTTCCAAAAAAAATGTGACAGTGGTTATCTTGCTAGGGTAGCCAATCCGCCTGATAAATGTATTCGACATTTATCAGGCGGATTGGCTACCCTAGAAGACAAATCTCGATAATCGGGGGTGACCAATATCTCAGAATCACCAAAACATATAGTAATAAATTCTGTATATTGATGATATAAGAAGCATATACGTGGATTATCCACATGAAATTTTTCAATACAGTTTTAAATAAAAGAATCAATAAAATTATGAACTATTCTAACTATTAAGTGCGGGAAAAAGGTAAATAATCAGATTTCTAATAAAGTTTTAATGTATGAAATTAAATGCAAAAAAAAATTCTTATCAAAACGAACATATAATAAAATAAGCAGTAATTTCTCCTCCTTAGAGCAGTTAAAAGTTAAGGATGAATACATGTTGAGTTTTTATTTGGTGTATAACATAAATATTATAATATATAATATATTATGTTACTTTATTAACTAAATATTCGTTGAACTTGTTCCAGGAAAATTAAGTATTTTTGGTGGAAACAAATGTCAATGAATGCAATTTGTATTGAATGTCAAATGATATGATGATATTGATGATCAGTGATGATATTGATATGATATTTTGAATGATATGATATAATATGATGTTTTTCAATTACTACTCTATAAAATTATGCCTAATGATAAACCTACAAACGAACATTTTAAGACAATAATCGATATACTTTAAGATATTAAATAATAGGAAAAAAAATTAGATTAATAATCATACAAGGATTATTACGAATTATATTTAAAAAAATGTATTTATGTATTATGACTGATATACTCATTTGAGTAAACTCTTTAACTGTCAATAACGATAAATATATTTAAAACGTATTGTCAATTGAAAAATAAATAACTACGCTATCGAAATTGTTAAAAAGCTCAAGTTATATAGCAAAAATTTTAATTATTGTGATATCTATAACGAAGGAATGTAAGTAGATTTAGTTTTAAATTTATATTGCGAATAAATGGTGTGTAAATAAAGTTATTGGAACATTCCTCTTAAATCTAAGCATTTGTTTTATTTTGCAGTATACACTTTTACTACAATTTCACATAAAGAGAAAATAAATAATATAATACAAAGAACTTGAAAATTATATTAGAATAATATAGCGTATATTCGATAGGTACCCATGTTGATAACTAACATATTCCTATTTCAACTGCAGTTTTTTTTTATAATTTTCTATCTTTAATATGTTTATTTGTTTATGTTATTAGGCTTAAATAGGAAAATAAAACCCCCACAAAATTACATCAGTTATCATAGTTGACTTAGCAGGCTTTCATTACCGTCACTTATTTTTATTACCTAAGTCAACTTTAGTAATATTTTAAAATATGGCGTAATGTGTATATACTGTTAAAGATTCAAAATGTCTTGGAAATGTCACAAGCTACGTATTCTTCGGCAACGTTTTATGTTCACAATATAGTAGTTGTTTATTTTGAATATATTAAGATAATCTAAACATGTTTCGTATGCTACGTTTTTGAAAAGTTGATTCCAAATACAGATTCATAACATTTTTTTTTAAAGTCCCCTAGTAGATGCGTTGGCACGTGTAAATCATGTTGTAAATGGTATTTTACGACCACGTGTTAGGACTTTTTACGACCAGCTGCTTGCCTAAAGTCAACTCTCCTCTGGAACAAACACACATATCTGCAACATTGTATCTGTGGGTCACACAAATGAAATGGTTACGTGTAGAAATGGAACCCATGAATCAGCTCCGAAGCCAATAGCAATAGCTTGGCTCGACTACGCCAACGAGTTATTTTACAAGGGATTTTATGAGGAATAAATTGTATTCATGTTCATTTGTTTTTTCATTAATAAAGCCGTGTCACGATACGATTCTAGAGTACATCAGAAGTTTCAAACCATGGTTTGAACTATAATCGATAGGAGAAAAAATCCAGAGCTAGTAATCCAGTTGAAATTAATCGCGAAATATAACGCTCGAAACTATGGCATTACGATAATTAATTTACCATAATAATTATTTAAGGAAGATTAGCCAAATTACATTATTAGAAGATTTAGTACAATAATCTATTTCGTAAAAGAGTTACATAGTTTACGAAATTGTTATTAAATACCAAAGCCATAAAGTGGCCTGGTACATCGTTCATGCGGATATCATTTTTAGGGGAATTGGGGAACGTGCATTAGTCGGCGAATGCGCTGTACCTAATGTTTATTAACCTTAGTATATGCAGTCTTTGGCGCTGGAAATTTGAACGCATTTACAATTAGATTTCATATAGATCAATACAAGCGATATTTATTTTTCAATTATTAACTATGATAGAACCACGTAGCAACTTTTATATTACACAAATTTAACAGAAGACTGGCGTGTAGTAAGTATTGTATACTTGCCGTTATTCAGGTGAGTAAAGTAACAAAGGTCTGTTATTTCAAAGTTGGTTAACACAACTGCAAGCCCACGAGTGTCTAAGGGCCGCAGTAATTACTTTAAATAAGAAGAAGCGGCTCGCTTGCTATTTTATAAAGAATAAAATAAAAGAATTGAAGAAATTCGTAATTTTATAATATTTTATTACAAATTCTCAGAATATTTTACCTTTCAAGATGTAAATTGAGGTCCATGTATTGCATTTGGTTAAAATTTTAATTTAATTCAAAAAGTGTATGTCGACTTAAAGCTAGGAAAATTATAAATACTCATCGATAAATATGTAGATTGATAATAAATAACTATAAAAATACTCGTACTGTTCCGAAAAAATATTTATTTCTTTAATTTAATATGCTTGGATTTCTTATTAGAATTGAAGGGGATTCCGGAGGTTAGAAACAAAAAGAATACTATACAACTGCTTTGTCCTGAGCATTCTGGAATACTGTAGTATTGTGTGGAGACCGCACTATGCATGTCACTCTCTGAGGTTAGAACGAATACAGAAGAGATATCTCTGGCATCTAGCCCATTCTTCGAAACAATGTAGGAAGGGGTTTTCGTACAAAGACAGGCTGAAATTTTTTAAATATACTTCACTAGAAAATCGCAGAACAGGGCTTGATCTTATCTTTTTAAACAAATTATTTAACAATAAAATAGATTGTCCTAACCTGTTAAGTAAATTCAGATTCAATGTACCGAATAGGCTACCTAGAACCCAAATAGAACCATTGGTTACACCTTTTTCCACCTCGTTTGTCCCCAGAGCGAGCCGACTTTTGAATAATTATGGAATATCAACGGATATTCATGCTATTAGTCTCAATACCTTTCGTAAGCACTTGCAAGAAACCATTGTCGATGAGTAGATTAATCGTATAGCATATATATTTTTAATTAAGTCTCAAAAAATTTTAAAAACTCTTTTTTACTACCTTTTTTTTTAATTGTATTCTGTACACATTTCTTATTGTTAAGTTTATTGATGTTACTTGATATACTTCGCATGTGCTGTTTACCTTTAATTAATTGTGCATTTAGCTATAGAAATATACTGTGTACTAAAATATACATAAAATTAATTTACCTTAGAAGTAAATGTATACTATGAAAAATAAGTATAGGTATACTGTTAAAAAATATTAAACAATACTTTTTGTATATATTATTATATTCTTTTTCATGGCGTTCTCTCACTATGAGATTGAAGGTGCGAAGGGATGGTGTTTTAAGCACGAACATTCATTTTTTTTGTCAGTTTTAGACTAAAATCAAGAAAGAATTTCCGAACGACACTCACGTCATAACTGTCATGTCAGTGAAGTGAAATGTGACGGGTGGTTCATGTTTTGTATTTAGCGTTTAACTATATTTTATTACTTAAATTCAATGTGAAATAGTTGAACAGTTGAAATACGACTGCATTATTAGATATGTTACATTTTCATAAGTGAAATAATTGTTGTGATCTTATCATACAAGTGCCCTAGGATCATATTGTCCAGGTAACGGTATATTTTGTTTTTAGACGTCGCACTAATTCCGTCATGAAATCATTTCTAATTTATGAACTTAATGATTCCATATTGACTGCTTAGTTGAAACCATAAAATTTACATAGTATTTTTGTGACATTCTCTTAAAATTTTCTTTCTATCTTTCACAATAAATCTCACAAGTGACAGAATGATAGGATTGACATTAAAGTGCGTAGCATAATTATATAGTCGTTTGAAAAGCGGGAGTTTAAACGTCTCATATTACTTCACATTACATTCAATAAAATGGATATATACTCATTCATATTTTCTTATAAGTATCTGATATACATTTTAGGAGCTTTTTGGAATGTATTAAATAATTATTACAAATATCCATTTCTAAAGAAATATCTGTTAAATTATAGTAAACTTATACAATCAATGCTTATTATTTGTAACATGGTAAATAAATATAATGGAATATCATCACTCTTTAAAAAATGACAATAATTTCATAAGAAACAAATCCATTTTTTGCAAACCTTCATAACATAATGAATTAAGTGCTAGCATTTCAACCACTTGCAATAATTATGTGAATGTTTGTCAAAATAATTGTTTTGACTTTTAACGATTTCTGCACACATGAGTACATGCACAGCCCTACCCACTGAGGAGGGCCTGAAACCCGTGGGTTCTGGCCAGCCCACCGTTTCTGCGTTTGTGAAGCTTTATAGTCTAAGGACTGCAAGCATAACATCAGTTATACAAAAAACAAAACAATTTCTCGGTATGACTAGTATTAGTTAATAAACTTAATAATTAATTCCTATATATCTTGCTTCCATTATTAATAATTTGTACATTAAAACCATATCTTAAGTGTATTCTTCAACAAACGAACATTTTCATGCTTTTTGTAGAATTTGCTATAAATATGATCCCAAAAGATCAGCTGTTGGCCAGCAAAGAGTTGATTTGTTAATCCCTTGTCTATTAACAAATACGGCACTACTGTGATTTTACCTTCAAAGTCCTGTGTGGTTGGAATAGGTTCCCATATCACTGGTATCAAACTGGTTGTTAATGGTGTTGGATCACTGAAATAAAAAGATACATTACAGTTATGGCTCTTTATCATAGATATTATGCTTAGTTTATTAAATCCGAGACCTGCTGTTATTTACGCCAACATAATATCAATTTTATTTATAATAAAATCACAAACTTTAGTGTAACCACAACTCTATTATAACTTTATATTTAACTAGCGGACTGGACAGACATCGTCCTGTATACATTTTTGAATAACTTTGTGAATCTAAATCATTCTAGAATCTACCTGAGCACACATAAAAAATTTCGTTAATATCAGTCCAGACGTTTAGGAGGAGTTCAGTGACACACATACATACAGAAGAATTATATATGTAAATATGTCAATATTTATTCAATTTTGTATTAAATTTACATTTGTTCCATTTATTTTTATGATATTTCAAGATATACAACTATTTAGGTGTATCAGTTCTAGTATTTGTTATATAACAACTACTTTATATTTGATTTATTGAAGTATAATGAAATCCACAAAAAACTGTTATTCAAGTGCTTTAAATATAATAGTCATAACATTAAAACAACTCCCACACAGTATTAGATCATTTGATAATTTTAAAGTCAATATTTTGTAAGTGATCTTGCATCATTACAGCAACCTATAACTCTGATTCTGTCCATGTGCTAACAACACTTCAATCTATATGGAATCAAAGCGACCATTTATTTTGGAGTTAATGTTATTTAAGTATTTATTGCAATGTTGTTTATATGTCACAAAATAAAACTTGATTAGACGAATTATTTTCACGGATTTTAATGCATTTATAGAGCTTTTCGATTCATTGACGTTTTGAGGGTCCAGCGCTCTCACCGTTTCGTACGCGTACTGAGGTGTTTGTCGTCTTGATTCCATGGCAACCAGGATCTAGTATGCTAAGGCTTCATTTTTTAAAGGGTGGCAAATATTTAAACAACTATTATTTAAAAACTATTAAGGATGCCGATCTTTTATTAACAAAAACTAGTGTTGTACCAACTAGTCGGTGACTAGTAGGCCCATTTTTACTTGTATTAATAAGCATAAAAATTTAAAAGAGGGCGATTGAAATGAAATTGAAACCTTTATTGTAACCTGTGATTATCGAAGTCATTTTTCGACGCGAAAAAATTATGAAAGTAAACTTTTTACGACACGCACGGAAAAAGGATTAAGAAATCCAATGTCCAATGCCAATTAAAATAAAATTGAATATATCTCCTTTCTAACAAAAAATATTTTCCGAAGCGTTTCATTAATGCGGCTCGGACGTAACTAACATAAAGAAAATTCAACCCATTTAAAAGCCTCCCTTTTAACTCGATTGAAAATACGTTGTATGTAATGATACATAAAGTTAATATTTATTTACCATAGATATTAAGCATTTGCACAAACATTTGTATGTCGTCTATTTCTCCCCCACACTCTCCATTTGGTCCGTTTTCGTTCTAATCTATGGTATTGATTTTACGACGTGAGTCGGTGTTTATGCGCATTCTTACGCAAAATATTGTTAAAGTTAACTAATATTCCTTCGTTAGGGTTTCTCATAAAATGTTTCAGTTATAATTCTTCTACGTAGAATGTTTCAAGGTTCGTCCTTGTTAATAAAATTTATTAAATGTAATTATTTTTACAATAACATGAATAACGGATGTCTAAATAACTACTTTTGCATTATATCGTGGCATTATTCTTATAAGTACGAGAAATCGTTACCCAGTAAAATTTTTTTAGTCTATTCGAATGTCGGGAGGTTTAGACGTTTCTCGATTTTATTAATTCCACGGCCCAGCGACGACACATGCAAATTCATTAGACCAAACGGAGGCTCAAGGATACAGTCTAAAATTTTAAGAGCACGTGTAATTTTCGGCAACACGGCTTTGTTTGTGTGGTACCTAATTTATTATTATGAAATTATGTATAACACGCTCACGGGACAGGATGAGTTAATTTTTTTTGTATAATTTACGGCCTTGAAAGATAACCGCCAAAGAGTGTTTGTGTTAGTTTTTTAAATTAATTGTAACACTTTATTAGTACGTATGAATTATATGAGGGAATGTGCACGATAAACATGGTAAAAATGGGCTATATATTATGACTTTTTACTTGTCATACCTTAACCCTTTGCACCTAAAGAAGAATTCAGAGAGGGGAATATAATTAATCTGTAAAACTCACCCCATCCTTATAAAGTTGCTAAGCAACGTGACGAGCCTTTCGGCGATCAGCTGTTCGTCCGGTCTGATCATTTCGTTTGTAAATATATACATATATATGTCCCCGTGTCCCGCGCCCGGTATCAACTCCTCTTTCGCGCCGCTGAAGCTGCCTTTGTACGCGAACTTCATGAGGTATACCGGCGGGGAGGCCCTCGCGTGCAGTATCGCCGACTTCACAACGGGGTACTCGACGAATATGTCGTTCACGTAGTCTATGTAGTTCGGAAGCAGGCTCTCGCCGATCTCGTTCTCGCCGAAGTAGAACTCCTTCACGAGATCGGCGAGCTTCCGCTTGTAGTCCTCGTCGTCGCACTCCAAGTTGTTGGGCAGCAGGCCCCTGAAGTCCTCCGGCACCACGGCGAACCGCTGCACGTTGTCCGTGAGGATTTTCACCTGCGCCGCGTTCGTGTGCGCGATCATCAGCGGCACGTGGTGGAAATGCGCGTCCTTCATGATGTCTAGCGGGTCCATCTCGAGCAGGCCCGTGGTCGAAGACAGGTCGCGCTCGACGCACGGCAGGAACACCGCCGTGGCGTTCGCCAACCTCCTCGCCGGGACCTCCTGGTAGAAGCGGGCGATCTTATCCGGCGTCGCGTCCCCATCGTAACCGAGCGACGAGGCGACCTCCAGGGCCGTGGCGAACGGCGCGTACGTAACGGAGGTCGGCGCCAGTGCCGAGCCCGACTCCAGGATCACCCTGTGGAGGAGTCCCGTCGTGGATCCCGACAGCAGAAGCAGTTCCACCGCCACCGCGCCGGAGCCGGTCCCGTAGACGGTGACGTCGTTCGGGTTCCCCCCGAAATTTTTGATGTTCCGTTGCACCCAGTAAAAGGCAGCCACTTGGTCCTTCAAACCGGCATTCCCCGGCGCCTCGATTGTCCCAAGGCACAGGAAGCCCAACGCGCCTATGCGGTAGTTAAACGTCACTATTATAAAATTTTCTTTCAGTAGACGCGATGGCGCTCTATACGGTCCCCAGCTGAAATAAAAATGTTACTTGGTTCACAAATTAAGGTTCACCTTTTCAATGAAATCATGTACATCTGCTGTAGGTCATTTTGGGTCATTCGAAATTCAACAATAGCTGCTTCAAACAACTATTTCGTTTTGTGGTCGTTAACTAAGATGTTAACCCTAAAAGAGTAAAGTAAATAGCAACCTAGTGTCCCACTGTTGGGCAAAGCAAAGAAGTTTGCTTGGATCAGTGTGTACGCTATACATTACCCCCTTTGGAAGCCGCCGTCGTGCACATGCACGAGGACGGGCAGCAATGTAGCGTGCTCCGGCGCGAACACGTTGATCACCAGACAGTCCTCCGCACCCTCCTCGTCGGCCTGTGGGCACTTCATCCGGTGTATCGCCTCGAAAATCCCGTCCCATATGGGCGGCGGCTCCGGGGCCTGGGAACGATTCCATGTCGGGATTCACACTCGGCTCGTACTAACTAAACAGGGCGTAGGAAGCAAGTATCCGGTGCGAATATTTTGCCCGATCAATTTTGCCCATGAGGTCGTTTAGATACGATCACTACGAGCTGCAATGCATGTTGCACCGCTCTACCGTATGTTATATACGTATACGTTGTATTGGTAAATATGATGGTAATGCTTGGAAGGTAGTTCTGGGGTTCTCATCGTTTAGAAAACAATCACACACGAATGTTTTGGTTGCGTTAAGAGACACGGTGACTTGGATTTAAGTCAAGCATGTCTAAAAACATGTTGAATACGCCCTATATATAATACGCCCTAGAATGTAGTTGTATTTACGTATTATATTAAAACAGCTAATGCTAAAGAAAATTGCACATTTATTTAAGGATATGTTTGAATTATTGTTTATCAATGATAGACTAGATAGTCTTGCGTTTACTTGTGTCAAATACGCTTCTTGTAACCTTACCCTCCGACCACTTATTTCAGTCAGATGGTGGAAGTTTTAAACCTATACTAATTTACAACATCTCTTAGTTAACAAACTCATTACGTTCGCAGGCACGTTAATCCGCGATAAAGATCTCCACAGCCCGCATTAATTACACTGTGCACACTAGCAAACGACGGGTCTGACCTTAAACCTGTCGTAACGCGTGGGCGGGCGGGCGTAGGGCACCCCGAGGTACGCGTAGTGGGGTGGGCTCGGGAAGAGGTAGCCTCTGACGCGGCCTTGCGTCGTCACCACGTCGCGGTGCGGCCTCGTGGACAGCGGCGAACGCGCGTGGACAAACAGCCATAGCCAAGTGTAGACCAACGCCTTGATCATTCCGCTCCACTCGCAACACCAGCGAATCTATCGCAATGCCGAATCCCGCTTCACTACAAGACGACCGGCTAATGATCCCACACTGTCGCGTCAACGCAATCTATTGCGCCCCTGTTATGATAACAGACCGCCGTCTTATATAAACACCACACGTGTGACACACTATAGAAAGCCCTAAAACCAATGGGTCGAGAAATAATATACAACTTTGATCATATAACAATTTATTTAGATGTCACTGATTTTGATGGATGATTCGGTACGTGGCTTAAATTTTGTTTACTTTGGGCTTGAATCGTGCAGCGTTTTCTAGAAATTATACTCTTATAACTGCTGGTGGTAATAAATAAATAAATGAAGTAGCACAAAGCACAAGTAGGTACATTAATGTATTTTTTAGAAAATGCTGATGATACCTTAAATTAATATTTTTGAAAAACAAACGAATAAAAAGAGAGTAAACATAAGTAAATATATATATGGAGGCGAGGCATGTGCTCGGTTGTGTTCAACGAAGTACGTCTCATATATCTCGGTCCACAATTTGAGCCGCTCCAAGTGAAGCCCTTTTTGCGGCTTGATTTCGGATCCTATCAAAATCCAGGACTCGTTGAGCTCCGTTGTCTGTTTCAGTTGATGCCACTCTACGCTCTTCGCTGTCGGCGTACTAAAAACAGAAAGCATTTAGTATAATTTCACTTCTGCCAAATGTCAACTTCATTGAAAAAAAATTACTACACTTTTACCCTGTGTGAATAAAGCTCGCCCACAACTCTGTCAATACGGCAACCATCTGTCTCTCTTTCGTGCCCTCATCAGGAACCTGCCCCTTGTGACAGAAGACGTATCTTGCGACGTCTCCTCTTGTCGCGCCATGCACTTTCACCGAAGACACTATTTCTTTATTCAAGTCGCCAACAAAGGAAAACTCGTAGAAATAAACCGGGGCACCCGCTGCCACCAGTGGTCTGGCAGCTCGGATCATCGGTCCCAAATACGAAGCGTCGGTATAACAAAATGAGAGCAGCTCTACTCCATCCAGTGTCACATAATCGTCGCCGAAGTACTGCGCTCTTATTCTCTTCACAATCCTCGATCTCTCCTTGTCATTATCCTCAAAATCCAAATCGTCGGGCAAAACTATTCCGAAATCATCGTTAATTTCGGACAAACTGCTCTCCATTTGATCTAAAGCTTCTTGCATTCCAGCGTGACTAGTGGAACCTATCATGTACGATACATTTGTTTTTAAGCTGTGAAGCATATTCCAGGGTGTTTCCGTAATAAAAGATGTTTCTCCTGCTTCTACACATGGTGCAAATTTCATATTTTTCGCTGCGGATACTAATACTTTAATATAAAAATCGTTCTTTTTAAAAGCCATTGATGTAATTGTATCAATCGGAGTACTCAGTTTCTGTAATAACTTTTCCAAGGTCGCAACTGGATTCCTGTCTAGGGCCCAATGAGATAGAACGAAACCGCTTTCAGCAATTACTTTGGATACGTATTCTCTTGATGTGGGCGACACCGCCAAATATCCTGCCAACGCTCCAGCGGTATCCTCTCCACTCACGACAATATTACGAGGATTTCCCCCGAAAGCTGCTATATTATTTTTTATCCATTTCAACGCCAACGTCAAGTCTTTAAGAGCCGCATTTCCCGGTATGGTTGCGTTTTGTGAGCACAAAAATCCAAGCGGGCCCAATCTATAGTTTGGCAGGACGAGGATAATCCCCTTATGGACTATATATTCCGGTCCATATACAGATGGATCGCCACTTCCCGTATTGAAAGTGCCACCGTGGATGTGGAATAATACGTCCGCATTAAGCGCCTTTATTGGTGTCATTATGCTCAAAGTCAAACAGTTTGTACTCCCAATAAATTTATCGGGGTATTCGACTTGTGGACAACGTGATGTATGCTCGCTTGCATTGTGGACTTTTTCCCAAGGCTGTGGTGGCGTTGGTGCCTGAAAGTTGGCCAAATTCATACATTAGTACATTGGTATCTAATACTTTATTTTTATTTTTATTAAATTACTCGTACATTAGTATCTAATCATAACCGTAAAATCGTTTGTGTTTTTAAATCATACCCTAAGCATGCTGTTAAGTTGACAAGGCTAATGTTTCGTTTTGTTTTGTTCGCTTTCGATTTATGGCTAAATTTTACATCATTAGCACGTTTCTGTTTTAACACAAATGCTTTACAGTGTTTTCAATCAAATTTTCTTACCTCAAACGGATTGGCTTCACTAAATGACCCATATGGTATATCATAGAACCTCTTTATATTTGGTGTTTCTATTAGTATGTGGCCTTGAACGGGTCCACTTGTCGTATTGACAATGTCATCCCTATCAAGAATGATAATATTCCCATCGTCATGTGTCTCCTGCGAAATCTCAAGAGAGTTGCCAGTTACTGGCGTCAAGTATTTACCGGAGTTCAAAACTTGTGCAGCAGCCATGTATTTCCAAATCAGGATTATCGGGATGCATAGCAACGATTGCATTTCTTTTCATAACAATGCAAATAGCTCCTCTTTTAATGATTTGTCACTGTCTAATTTGTGAGCGGATATCCCCAATGCTTCTCGGGTCGCTTGCAAATCGGGACTGTGTTTGCGTTTTCAAGTATGAAATACTACTGACCCTCTTAACGATATCATAGGGTCGATACACAATCGATCACAGCCCGAGTACACTGTTCAACAAAATGGTTTGCAAAGCAAAGCAATTTGTTTATTGGATTACTGGCAATTTAAAACGGTGCCAGTATTGGTTAAATGTTAAAAGACTGAGGAATAGATTTAATAAATACTAGGTATTATATAGTTATGATATTCATATAGTTATGATCCAAAAAAATTTATTATAATCCAAAGGCTTAATAATCTAACTTTAATTAATTAAATTAATAAGTTTAAATAGGAAAATTTTAAGAAGCACCATAATATCATAACTTTAATTATATAAAATTAAATAATTATTATCGGGACTTTAATATACCGTTTAAAAATACTATGAATAAAATAACATTATATTAACTGCAGTTCAGATTAGTTCTTCTACTTGCTTACAAACCTTTAATAACATATTGCCTGGAATTTGTGGTTTTTAGAAAATTTGTTTGTGTTTTTTGTTAGTTGGTGGTGCACTAGTATTTTATTATTGTCAATCTACTCAGTTACAGAGAGGCTTACTGCTTAAAAGACCACAACAAGACGGATGAGAAGGACACGGCCAGCAAAAGCACCGCTGAACCGCGTAAAGCTTTGAGACACGCGTTTTGCGCTCGACCGTACACCATTTCAATTTTTTTTATCGTCCGACAGAGCAATGTCATCTAACGCTATCTTAGCACTCAGTTTTGGCGATAACAGTTATTGTTTCACCCGGCGTTATTACCCTAACCGATCTACCATGTCCCCCTCACACACGATGTTGGTACCCTCTGTTATGTTAGTTGTATCGAATACGTGCACGTCTAGTAGTGCACTAGACGTTGCAAATTGACTTGCTCAATTTGAATCAAGATTTGGTCCTGGTGTAGGTGTTATTGATTTGATTTCATGACGGAATGGGTGGAAGCGTTCTTGATGCATGCCAGTTCAATTAAGAGCATCACATTCACATTCTTTCGGCTTATAAATTATGTTGTCTAGTAACTCTTATCATATCACTTACGAATGTTATTCGCGAGTAAAGGTATTGTTTGGTTTGCACTGAATCTCAACAAGCTGTCTCACATCCAAAATTAGCTTGGTTTTAAAGGTATTTTTTATCAGATACATTTGCGCCTCTTATATACAGCGTGTCGTTACCATCGCGACAATAAATGAACACACGTCTTACGCTACTTGCCAATAATCATAAAAAAATGTTAACGTTAAACAAAATCCATAATTTAAAAAAAATTTTTTTCAAACAAACTAATTAAGTAAAAAAGAAACAAAATTTGTAACATCCTATACAACTCGCGCCACAGCGTCGTATTACAAGCCTCTCCTTCTAACAGTATGTTTTGTCTCTTTTAAATTCATTCAACCCATTCATATGCTTTGTGACCTTTACAAATGAACTTTACGTTACGCTTTTATAGGTAAAGGTGTTCTAAAATTCTTTGTTGTGGAAAATTTAATAACTCTGTAATATTGATGTTTAAATAATTTAAATGTTTAATATAACTTTAAAAAGTTATCCTCTACATGTGTGTTCATTTATTGTCGCGATGGTAACGACACGCTGTATATAGGAAGTGGCAAACGAGCTGGTGGTTCACCACTTGATGTTGCAGTGATAACCGCCGCCCGTGCACATTTGCAACATTCGCAGGGTGGCAGATTCGTTGCCGCCTTCTAATAAAGTGAAGCTCAGGCTACGTCACTCACCAGACGGCTGCGTTCTGGTGAGTGAGTATAAAAAGTACTTCAAACTCACGCCGGTCTTCCCCGGACGGACCTTCCGATACGTAATGATAAAGAGAACACTAAAGCTTCAGATTTTGGGTAAAAACTGTAATAGGAATGGATACTTCAAAATGCACGCAGTTCTTTATAAAGTTCTTGTCCAGCGGATTTATAAGAATATTGAGACAATATAGAGTAGGAAAGGCACAAGACCATGTCAATGACTTATTGAGGGACATGAGCACCAATAATTATCATCCATTGTAAGTCAAAAAAGTTGTCACCATCAACTACGACAGCGAGTAATAAATAAATTAATAAATTTGTAAGAGACCTTATGGACCATAACTATTTTTTGACGTTAGAGGATATGGGATTTCCTTTATACGTGAACGATTGTCGTCCTGTTTTTGTTATGCTTTTGTTTTTGACATACGCTGGTTCAATGACAGAGTCAATTTTAAAAAAGAAGATTTTAATTATATTATTTCTAATTTCAGGTAATATTTGAAATTTTCTTCAGATCCTTTGGATTCGGTGAGTTTGAGTTTCACCACTATCTGGACTAAAACATAAATATGGGTTCTCGTCTAACATTGGATTGTACGTAAACTGTAGTCAGATATGATTTATGGTTAAATTTTAAATGGTAGGTAACTTTAAACAAATAATTATTTAAACTCCGGTTTTTTTTTCTACGAAATTATTTGATTTTAAAAACAAATATTTCCACATAGATACATAAACAATTTCTAAATCTTTATAACAGTAGCATACGAATAAATATTCAGTTTAAATTCCATTTGAAATTATCGCGAAGAGGGTGGTGTTGGAAGATAATTAAAACTGCTTACAAAAGCCGGCTCGCCCGCGCATTTGTGCGGGCACAATCAAAATATTCGACCGTTGCTAAGACATCAATCCTGTTTCGTGTTTTAATTAGGGCGAAGCTGTGACGAGTTTCTGACGTGGGCGAACGTTAATGCCTCGGTAGAGGTTGAGCTACTTCGTAATATTACGTCCTTACTAATATTATAAGGGCGAAAGTTTGTTTGTATTGATGGATGTTTGTTACACTTTCACGCAAATACTACTGAATGGATTTTGATGAAACTTTACTATAAAATAGTTTATACATAAGAATAAGACATAGGCTATAATTTATATACATATTTTATAAATTTTAAAGTTTTTTATAGTGCTAATCTCTGCACTTAATATTGAACATTAAAACCCACGTCTTCGGCATTCGCGGCCTGACGCTCTAGCCACTGAGCTGATCAGCCGTATAGTCAGGGCTAAGCGTCAACCCGAATGCGAAGACGTGGGTTCGATTCCCACAGCGGCGACAATCTTTTCGTACTTTTTCTACATGTTTTAATACATATTTTGTGTTTATCTGTCTTTCTGTCTGAATGTTACGCCTTCAGCCTATTTTACGCAGACGTAATCGCGGGCAGCAGCTAGTATAATAAAACGGTAAACATGCTATCGGAATCTCTGAAAGTGATAAATCGATTCGGGATTTATTTTTTCATAACCGCAAATCGCACTTTCCCCGATTAACGTAGCGATATGTACTGTAATTTATTAAAATAAGATGTGACTTTTTTGTTATACATAACTTTATGTTATAAGAGAAATACCAATTATGTTTTAATAAATATTAGCGACCCACCCCGGCTTCCCACGGGTGCAATGCTGAATATTCGTTTTCGACATCGCATTAGAAACCTCTAAAACTATCAATGTTTCTCTACTATATCATGAATTATACATGTAAACCTTCCTCTTGAAATGCGTCTTGCATCAAAATCCGTTGCGTAGTTTTAAAAATCTAAGCATATATACGGATAGACAGACCGCTGGACGACTTTGTTTTATACTATGTAGTGATGATGATGACTCAAATCCATACTGCGCGGCGTTAGAAATTGTTCCGCTTTAAATTACAAGACATAGTTGTAAGCGGATATGACAGATGATATAGAACGTATGATACGGAAAGAGATAGTAGTCTATAGAATTTCAATCTAATTACACCAATTGGCGTAATTTGAGAGACTCAGTTTTGGTTATTATCATATCTTATCATATCTTCCTCGTATTTATATATATCATTGACAAATATAGACACGGACAGCTGACAAAGTTGACATGATGACATTGAAGTTAAAAATATAATTATGCGATATGTAAGAATTTTTTATGGTGCGTCATGAGAGATAATTTGACATAGTAATTTATGATTTGCTTGGGCCGGGCGAACAAACTATTTACGATGATACAATTTGGACTGGTGCTCGATTCGTAATCGATGACGTAACGCGTTACGCAATTTATTGTATGGCGGAAATGTTTACTGATGTTCTAAGATTCGATCTTCAGGACTATGTCAGATGACGTAAGCAAAAAAACCGAAAAGGCCAAGTGCGAGTCGGATTAGCGCACGAATAGTTGCGTACCATTATCTATAAAAACGGCATATAGTCATGTCTGTTGTATGGGAGCTCCACTTAAATATTTTTTTATTCTGTTTTTTATAGCATTTGTTGTTATAGCGACAACAGAAATACATCATCTGTGAAAATTTCAACTGTCTAATTATCAGCCTGGTGACTGGCAGACAGACAGTGGAGTCTTAGTAATAGGATCCCGTTTTACCCTTTGGATACGGAACCCTAAAAATAGCTGCAAATACATTTTTAAACGGCTTAATGACGCCAACAACGAACTAAACAAAACCCAAGAAAACTACTAAAGTAGCTTGAATATGTCAATAACAGTAATTAGGTTGATGACATTAAACATCCGTACATTGTACCCTGTTGTTCGTTGTTTTGTAGCACATTTATCTCCGATTTGTTTTATCCGGTTAGGGCTAAACCGCAAGTGAAACAGAGCTCCTCCTGTCCACAGAGGACAGGAGGAGCTCTGTTTCACTTGCGATCGTCGATTTTACAAGCCGTAGTTTTTTTTAATGAAATTGAATATCTAGATATGACTTGGCGGCGCAGTTGCTAAGCTATTGACTTCGGCGCCGGGGGTCGTGGGTTCGATTCCTATACGGGGAAGGTATTTGTGTGACCCACAGATAGTTGTTCCTGATTGTTTTTTCCCATGGACGGAGGCAAACATAACATGATTTACAAGTTGAGCTGCCCTGTCTAGATGGGATAAGGGTTAGGAGGATGACGATGTAATGGAATAGCTAGAGTTTTGCTTTTTTTTATGTGAAAAATTGCCAAGCGAGCAGACTGTTCACCTGATGTTAAGTGAATACCGTGGCCTATGGACATCTGCTACACCCGAGGGTTCGAGATGCGTTGACAACCTTTTAAAAATTTGGCTCCGGCCACCCACTCACCAGACGACACGCGAAAGTGTTATACTTCCACTTTACGCCGGTCTTCTGTGAGGTCGTGGTACTTACCCGGACGAGCCCGCCCATTCGTGCAACAGCCGAGGCTTCTGCGTGGCCCTACCACCGTAAACAAGTTTTGTTTGTAATTGTATGCAATGTATTGTATGTATTTAATTATTTATAATAGAAAGCGGCAAACGAGCAACATTTTTAGTTTTGTGACTACCGCTGCATATGTGTTTACACACCCACGCAGTTGCAAATGAGTTGCCAACCTTTTAAGGAGTGGACACAGCTTACATTGCTCACAGACGAAACGCAAAAGCATTAATACTTCTACTTCTCGGCTTTCTTCTTTGTAACTTTTTATCCTCCACTAATGTACTTGCCCATTCTTGTAATAAGAAAATCGCAAAAACGTGTTAGGCGAAATTAATAAATAACTGATAACCATATATTGTGTTTATTTTTAATATGGTTAAAAAGGGTTGGCAATTCTATCCATTCGAAGATTCATCCTATCAGACATCCTTCCTCCTCCGCGTGTAGTACTTCTCGTATAATTCATCCCACATCTCCGATGCTTTTTCGTGCGGGTAGTCTATCATCTCTGTCTCCATCGCGATGTTCAGCAGCCGAGGCTGTTGATAATCCACCGGCTCCCAAAGTACAGCATCCTCCGAATGTGGAGTGGGATTTCTATAAAAATCGTTCGGGTTGTTAATATTTAATAATATTTCCATATCTGAGAAATCTTTTGATTATTTAATTCACTATATCATTTAATTTTTATTTGTGATAGTTTCTTCTATTTACGCGATTACATGTTATAAATGAAACACGGTACAGACTGTCCCGTGACCATAAACGCTGCGAAGGGTTTGAAACGCAGTCAATTAAAATTAACGGAATACTTACTTCCTTACTAATATTATAAAGGCGAAAGTTTGTATGTATGGATGGATGTTTGTTACTCTTTCACGCAAATACTACTGAATGGATTTTAGTGAAACTTTACAATAATATAGCTTATACATCAAAATAACACATAGGCTATAATTTATATACATATTTTTATGTATATCTGTCTTTCTGTCTGAATGTTACGCCTTGAGCCTATTCTACGCAGACGTAGTCGCGGGCAGCAGCTAGTTTAAAATAAACGCGATAAATTTGTAAAAAATAATTGCATTTATAATTCTAATCGTGTTGCAGTTATCCGAATTATCCATGATATGCCAAAGTTTAAGCCCGTAATTCCCTGCAAGGGATATTTCAGCGACATGCAAGCTGTATTCAATTTTGGGATTCATCCATTATTTTATGTTTTTATTTGAAGAAAACAAAAAAATAAGATTTTCTTATTCAATATCCAACTTACAAATGTTTGACGAAGTTCGACCAAAGCGCTACCAGATTTTCCTGAACTTTGCCGTCGTCGCCGGCGAGGCTGCGTCCATTCTCGGGGAACAAGTAGGAAAGTTCGTCGGAATGGGCGGCTCCGACTTTGTCCATTCCGCTCTCAGGTTCGACTCCCGTTTCACCCGAATGAGAGAACTGGTAGTAAAACACCGGGTATGGCGACGCGGAGGAGTGCAGACGAGCGCTCCGGTGGATATGGTTTATGAAGTATGCGTCGCTAGAAAATAAGAAACAATTGATATATTTTGCAATAATATCTTCAAAATTTACAAACCGATTATACTCTGTACTGTAATACTTATAACAGTTTTTGCAGTAGCTTCTGAAAGATTTTATAACGTTAACTATAAACTGTCGTCACGGGGATACTTTATTGCTTCTTAGTTTAAGAGTTCACTGTGATTGGGACGGATTCAAAAATTGATATAAGTTGATTCCTAATTCAGTCAGTAAAATAAATAATCTAAACTAGGTCGTTTTTGTCATTGTCAATTTTATAGAAGTCAGACAACTCAACTTCAAATCAAATGTATACTATACATTTCTACGTTCAGATATACCTGTGGTACGCCAATAATGAGGTAGTACTAAAGTTTTTATTTCTAAAATAATTCTGTTTAATTTTTTCTCGTGTCTGATTTAGTTCCCGAGCGCTCATGTCTCCAAACTCTGTCGGAATCAGAAACGTCATGTCGTCGGAGAGCCTTTTTAAAACATTGCCTTTTTCAAAAACGGATGCAAATATATACGCCTCATTATTGTTATATCCGATTATTAGGGGGACAGGAGTGGTCTTTCCTTCGGATAGCAGTTCATAAGGAGGCTCCGCCAATAGTCTCTCCTCTTTCTTGAACGATCTCTCGACACAAATTGCGAACGGGAGATAGGGCATTTCCAGTTGCCCCGTTTTCGTCTCCAAGTCTTCAAGATTTGCTTCAAATAACATATCTGGAAAGTTGTCGTCGTCATTGTACGCCTCCTTTAGGGCGTTTGTACGTAAAAGCGCATCATAGTTAAACGCCCACGGGCTAAGTGCTGTGCCGCTTTGCATTATAGCGCCTTGGAACAGACCTCGCGACATCTGCGAGAGCATTAAGGTCTCGACCATCGCAGCACCGAAACTTTCCCCCCCAACAACCACCTTGTTCGGGTTGCCCTTAAACGCTACAATGTTATCCCTGAGCCAGCGTAGCGCTAGAACTACGTCCTTCACCCCTCCGTTGCCAGGTATTTGATCGAGTTCAGTGCACAAAAATCCTAGTGCCCCCATCCTGTAACATAAGATATACTCGTACAGTCCATAATGGCTTACTTAACCTTTGTTTAAACATCATAAGAATTTTGATTATTTCGATTCATTTTAAAGGAAAAAAATTGAAATTTAATGGCCGGTTTCAATATTCTATCTGGTCATATAGAATATTGAAACCGAGATCAGATACATTTGGTTACTGGAGATAGAATTTTGATTTCTTATGGAGCTAATGTCAAATACCTATCGCTAGTTACGAAATCTGTCTGTGGATAGAATACTTAAACTGGCCGTTAAGGTTACTTACCGATGACGGACGATAACCACTATTATACCCTGTCTGACTAATTTACCGGGGTGATAAAATCCGTTACCTCCTTTCACCCATACCAATACCGGCCAGGGGTATCCATCAGATGTCGATACGTGGATGTCCAGCTGCAAACATTTGTCCACTTGTGAACTGGCCATGCATCGCGGGTCATTGGCTTCCCTTATACCGTTCCAAACTGGAGCTAAACCCGCTCTCTGTAATATGATATATAGGGAAATTATGGAATTGCAACATTAGGCCTAAACTTCATAGCATTCATTGCATAAGTCATAAATCCACTTTTCTATAGTTTCCAAAGTTTTCGATAGCATCGCGTTTTAGATAGCTGCGTTTTTCGGATCGGTAGCGACCTGAATTCAAAAGCAGTTATTCTTTTTTTTTTAATTTATAATGCTGTATTGAAATCCGAAGGGTTCAAATGATCGAGAAATGCTATACCGTTGTTTGGCCAACGTTCCGTTAGGAAATTTTCAGTAAATCATTACATCCTAACTTCTTATTTATTTCCCTTTCCTTATATATCTTAAAAATGTCATCCGCACCACCTCGATGTCCAGCGTTCCACAACAGCGCGATTTTCAACGCATTTCCTACTTCGCACAACCACTCTGTGGAACCAGCTGCCGCCGGCGGTCTTTCCGAACCGTTACGACCTGGGAACCTTAAAGAAGAGAGCATACTCCTTCCTAAAAGGCCGGCAACGCATTTGTAAGCCCTCTGGTGTTGCAGATGTCCATGGGCGGCGGTGATCACGTCATCAGGTGAGCCTCCTGCTCGTTTGCCGCTTTTATCCCATAAAAAAAATGAATCGCGATATTCCTTTGGTGCAAATCATACAATGCCGTTTATTCGTATTCGACAACAAGGCGATGTACGAAGCTGGCGCGCGGACTGCTTTTTTGAAGAGTATCGGGGCAACCCCTATGCCTCGGACATAATCTCGACCAGCTAAGGCTGGTCGGTGGAAGGATGGCCACGGCCATCCCTTACTCTGATCGCGGTAGCGGCACTGGCGGGTGTAAGGCGTTACACGCGGTGTGTAACGCGTGGCTTCGACAACAAGCTAAAGATTTCTCAGTACCTAAATATCTCAGCATTACCTTAAAGCGGCCCGTCACATTAGCAGACGCGTAAGGTATGCCGACGTACGAGACATAGCCATCGCGCGCCACGCCTCGCACCAATCCCTGCGCGGTGCTGACCAAGTTCTGTCGCGTTGATTGGACCAATCCCAATATTATCATCAGACCCGTTGGACGCATTTCGAATTGATTGTTGTCTTCGTTGTATAATTCCAATGTACGTCCGCTTCGAACGCCGACTGCGCTTTGGAGATTCCAATGATATATTTGTCATTTCAGTTCACTGTTCACTATATACTTTTGTGGTTATTGCGTGCGCCTGGAATTCAACGGTGCGTGGCCGCCGTCTATGGGATTTCTACCTCCATTATGTTGCATCCATATCAGATTGCCATTTTCCGCATCGATATTTTTTTCAAATGTCGGTAGTTGTAAATTGTGAAGTGGATGAAAGCGATCGTCGATATGGTATTCAGTTAATAGTAGATTTTGTAGCACTGATAGCTCGGTTCACGGGCGTTCGCTTTTGATTTATTATACTCGAGCAACCCGGGTTCGAGTCCCGGTGCCGGCACCAATGAAATTGTTAATTCGAAGTGCTGAATTATCACGTGCTTAGCAGAACACAGAAATTTCCTGTGTCAACCATCTAATAGAATTTGATTAAGAAGATAGGTATTGGATATTCCTCGCGACTATAACAGAAACTATTTACCTAGATAATTTTAATTTTTTCACAGATGCAAGATGTTCGTAGATCAAATAAGAACAAAGTAAAAAATTTGACATTTGTCAAGCAACTGTAATTGCCATAAATGTTATAATTTAAACGCAACTTTGAGTTGAAAAATTTTTGCCGACTTATCTCGTTCTCAGAGGTGAAGGAAAACATCGTGAAAACTTGCATATTTTCGAAATAATAATTTAAAAGCAAATATTTCGGAGAAACGTGATGTACGCCAATCCACAGTGCTGGATTATGCCCTAATACCCTCTGTACTGAGGAGACTTGCCTAGCAGAGAGACATATAAAGGCTGTAGGCGACTCTTGAGAAGCGGTATTAAGTCAAGTCATTGAATTCAGAATTTTCAGTTTATTAGCCGTGAAATTAAAATCAAACGAACATATTCATATAATTTTTTTTTATTAAAAAACTTAATACACAGGATGATTCCACACCACTTCAATAATGTTAGAAAAGCCGTTAAACATAAGTAAAAATAACGCACATTCGCCACTTCCGTTGAATTGCATGCTATGATATTTTAAATATAATGAGAAAACATTTCAGAAATACTTAAGGCGAGCAAATGCAGCATTATAACAGAATGTATACAATATTTATTTTTATATGTTACTTGAAGATGAAGCCGGCCACTTGCTTTTTTTCGTTTCTGTTGGAACTTCGGAATAAAAACTATATACAAAAACACTCGCCATTTCAAAAGAGATGCTTTGAACAAATATCAAGTAAATCCATCGCTGTTTTTTGCCTTTTGTGGACACAAACATACCGAAGCTAAAATTTTATATAAAAAGTGTAGTTCTGAGAAATAGGCCTTTGTTCAATAGTGGACGTCTTCCGGCTAGTGATGGTGACAGAACATTTTATAGCCTCAGTGTGGAAGCACCGTAATGTTAATGAATGAATTTCACACGACTAGCATTTAAGTTTTAATTTAAAACCTATGTAATTATAATCAATCAGAAATATAATGTGTGATGCTCTCCCGTTACTCACCGCTCTCACATCTTATTATAGTGACAGTTCAAGTGGTGACAATGTTTTGCCGTGAGTACTTGCAACACAAATAAATCTTAAAAAGAAATGATTTTTATGTATCGGATTTTCGAAATAGAATATTTCCGCTCCCTTTATTCCAAAAAAATCCCTCTCATCAATAGAAAAATCTAACTTTTTTTGTACCGATGTATTGTATTTATGTATGGTCGATGAACTTTATTGTACATATTTCAGTCTCTTTTAAATGCCTTTACTTTGAAGTTTAACATATCATTTGTTATTAATATAACACAATCTATTAATAAAAATATCGATCAAATATCGACTTGGAGAATAGCATTTAGAACAAAAGTTCAATTTTAACTTAAGTCTACGTACAAAAGCTTATAATTATTTCCTATATTAAAGCTTATCTTAACGGTCTCAGAGTAATACTTTCGATATTACCAAGGTTTCCATACAAAAGTCATCAAACAGACAAAGTAAGTACACACATTTATAATACGAGTCTCGGGTTTCTTAATAAATACGAAAGGTATATAATAAGCCGCGGCATGATTGAAACTGTTTGACAGAATTTCGTTTACGAACAGAAAATGTTAATAAATCAACCCTTACTTCCAGTTTTTCTGGTTCTTATTTTAGAGTATATGTTTTTGAATGTAGATAGGTATTTTGCACAAACCTCGACCGTTAACGGATCGTAATTACCGATAACATAACTTTTGCAATTGGCATTTACATCATCGCATATTGTATTATAGAGAAGTAACCAATAAACTATGCTATGTATAAGTTATCGAAGGCTTACACCGCTCAAATTTCAGCAGAGAATCATTTTCAACCAAGTAATATCATAAATAGTTACTCGCTATCTTCACTCATCCACCATGAGTGTAATCACAGCATCCATTCAAACATTACAATGTCAGTCTATATATTGTGTCTTCTTCAACTCGTCCTGTTGTATACTCCGTCGAAGAATTGCATCATTTCGCTTTGCGACCGCGTCGGGTCCGTGGAGCGGTAGAACGCCGGGTTCTCCAGGTCCTGGTACCGCAGGTACTGGTCTACCGGCCGCCAGGCGGTCAGCTCGTTACCGATGCAGGTGGGGTGGCTGTAATAATAATAATATAAATAATACAGATACGTTTAATGATTTATCCCCACGCCCCAAGCCGCAAGAACGTCGAGGCTCGTGTCTGGCCCAAATTCAAATCAACAACAGTAAAAGACGAAAAGGATAAAATAGATGAGGTTTTGTTGTGTAAGGTTGTCGTAAATGTATTCTTCTTTCTCCAACCCCACGCAGGTGAAGTCGGCAAAACATATAAATCATGTTGTTAATGGTATTGATTATTTTTTACGATCGAACGACTGCCTGACGTCAACCCTCCTTGAGAACAAACCCAGATCGGGAAAAATTATCTGTGGGTCATACAAATCTTTTCCCGTGTGGAAATCGAACTCACAACCCCCCCATGTGCAAGCCAATGGATTAGCAACTGTGCCACTGTGTCATCAATGTTGTTCTTAAAATATACCTGTTTAATTATTTCCACGCGACGGCATGTAACTGTTGCTAATAACAGCGTCAATTATATTTATAGATCCTTGATTATGCGTCTAGACGACGTGAACATATTAATGTATAGAACACAATACTAACGTAATAAGAGGGAAAATCTATGTCATTTAAATGTTGAACTGCTTTTGATCTGATGTAAAGATTCTTAGAAATGGGCTCCAAAATTATTTTTTAATCCCTTTAAAAAGCCTAATATTTTATGGTGCTTACAGCTCGTTTTTTGTATACTTAGAGGCAAGTAAAGCGGAATAAATAAGTGTTATAATTACCTGCAGTACATAAAGTTCCTCACGGTCCTCGTCATCCGTTCCCTCATCGCGTCGTCGGTGGACGGCGGGACATTAGGAGGGACTATGGAGTTCACCCTGAACATATACGTCATGTCCTCTACGTGACCTACACCCTTGAATTGTATACCATTCGCCTCCTTGATCACACTACTCTCCCCCTCGTAAGAGAACTGGTACAGGAACGTTGGCGCACCGTTCATCTTCCTCCTGTTCTTCGCTAACTTCAAAGCTGGATAAATGTAATAGGTATCGGAGCAGCAACTTATATATTTGTCCATGCTAGGCGATCCGTTGAAATACCTCTGTTCCACTCTCTTAGCTATGTCGAGCAGGTCGCCGGTTGGCGTATTGAATATTACGTTGGGCGAGAGCATCAGAAGCGGGTTCTCATTTATCCTCGTGATAATGTCTATCTGTTCAAATCTCGGCCGGAAGCTCTCGCATTCGGCCGATGTGAACCCCAGGAGCATAGGCGTGTATTTGGTGCGGCCTTCTGCCAACAGCACTTGTGGATCCTCGTCCAGAACTGGTGTGACTCCCGGAAATTGGCTCTCCACCACCGGCATGAAGGTCGTCAGCCCGAATTGATCAAGTAGCAGGCTGTTGACGTTCATGATCTTCTCGATTGGAATGTTCACGAGCTGGCGGTGGGCTGCCTCCGGGTCTGTGCCGTTGACGCCCAGGTGCGTGAGGAACATGTTGGCGATGAACTGCGCAAAGGCTGGCGACGTTGTGTAGAAGGTTGGCATTGCGGTGCCGCTCATAAGAAAGAGTCTGGAAGAGATTTGGTAATAATTAGTCATACCTCTTTTATTTTAGTCTTTTACCAAGTTCATAAGTTTCTTTCCTCTAATTTAGTAAAGCTATGACGTCAAAATATCGTTCCCTAATCACATGATGGATGAAACAAGTGATATGTCTTCTTATTTCGGGCCGTCTTTGCTATTTCATTTGTTCTTCGAGTATAGTTAACTTGCCCATGAATCACTCTATATTTTAAGTTTTAAAAGATTATATCTTTTAAAACTTAAACAGCGGGAGCGACTATGTTTTATACTATCTAAAGACAACGTTTGCGTAAGGCTCTTAAGATAGATAAGGACATCGTAGGATTTTACCCACGCCCGCATTTCTTTCCAATTTGCTTCCTATCCTAATGCTCAATGTAAAGTCACCGGAATAAATGGTAGTAACACAGCATTGATTTGCTTATCGTTTAAATCTCATGGTAAAGATCTACCAAATTGCTCTTTAAAGGATTCATTGGAAACTTCTGATGGTCAAAATAATATATACCAACAATACAGCGACGAGTTCAAAAATTTTACCAATGAAGTAAATCACTTTGAAGGCAGTCTTTCCGTAGAGCGCGCTATATTTTCACTTATACTTCTATATATCTTATTCTGCGTTTCGTCTGGTGAGTTTGTTAAACAGGCGCCACGCAACGGGTGTTGCAAATGTTCGGCGGCTATCACTTAACATCTGATGCATCGCCAGCTCGCTTGCCACCTTCTCACATTAAACAATCCACCGTGAACACTGGTGTTTAACTTCGTCACGTCGAAGACCTTAGAAGACGACAGCCCACCTCTTGTAAAGTCCCTCGGCCTGCCGCGAGAGCGCCACCAAATGGGCAGCGCTGGCGCCCGCGCTCTGCCCCGCCAGGGTCACCTGCTCGGGGTCCCCGCCGAAGGCCCTGGCGTTGGACCTCACCCAGCGCAGCATCGTCAAGATGTCGCGCAGGCCGTTGTTGCCGGGGACGCTCGGCGTGTTCAGCGACAGGAAACCCAAGGCGTTCAGCCTGAAACGGGAGGGACGGCTTCGATAAACTCGCTTACTTAACTAGCAAACTTGAATACTTACAAAATAGCGTAAGTATCGGGGTAAGTTTAAACATGATGAGGAAAAAATTAACACTGTGAGTAATTAATCAAACCACGACTGTTAGCAGCTTAAGCTTACGTTGTGTCAGTAACTTTTTAACTGAATACGCATATGGCGGTATGTATGTTTGTTGCTTTGTGGCACTAGAGTTCAAACGCGTTGACTGGTTTTAATTTTTCTTATATGTCAATTGAATTCTCTTAATGTTGCAAGTGCCTCTAAAGACGTGACGGTTATCAAATTAAGTATGACGACGATCAAACGCCATATTGTGAAAGAGTTAAGCAGAATAGAAAAATGTTCCGTTCAGCATTGAATTAAGTTTTTAAAATTTTTAAAACTAGATAATAGTTATTTTACGACTTCGTGGCGCATTTCTCGAGGTATTTGCTTCGACTCCGGGGTCGTACGTTCGATTCCCACAGGCGACATTTGTTCGTGCGACCCACTGATAATAATTCTTTCGGATCTGGAGTGTTCGCCCACGTGAAATTTGCGTTTGCAAAATGCCTTTATAAAAGAGGATAGGAAATCGAGACTTGGTAGTTAATCCATTTGATTGAACGGCATTAATGATTCATTTAGTATCACCAAAGACAAGGGTGGTTTACATCGAGCGATGAGGGTCATTTAATCTAGGCCAAGGTCACATGTGATGTAAACACGCCTTGTGCACAGATCTCTTGTGTAATGGATGTTTGGCGTTCACGCACACACGCGATTTCCGTGTAACGATTGCTTTTTTTTAAACATTGGACAATGATCAATGGTCCAGGACGATACAATCCTGTGTTATAAGGCCGATAGCATTGCGCTTACCTGTAGTTGAACGTGATGACAATCACTCCTTTCGTCATCAAATACTCCGGCCCGTGGACGTCTGAATCGCCGGAACCGAAGGCGAAGCCACCTCCGTGGACGAAAACCAGGATCGGAAGCCCGGGATACTTGGGTTCCTCCTCGCTCAGGGCGGTTTCGTAAGGTGGCTTCAGGTCCCTCGAGGGTCTTCTTTGACTGGTCACCGGCAACGCCTCAATTGGCACGTGAATGTTTGCGTATATACAGGCCTCGTCCATCTTCTGTGACGTCATCATCTTGCCGTAGAACACGTCCTGTTGAGGGCATATCGGCCCCTCCTCGGACGCGTCCAGATAGTCCCAGGGATCGGCCGGTTGCAGTTCCTGTTTCGGTATAAAAGATCATGTAGGTCTGTCTGTACATCAAACATGAATGCAGTGGGGTTATTACTAACAATGGTTACTGGCAACTTTTGTCCTGATATAACACGCATTAAAACATATCAGTTTTGTTAAGTTTTGCTTACACTAATTCATTAAATTCAGACATATCTACATGTAACGATGGAACATCGGTCGTAATCAGCTCGTAAACAGTTTAACAATATAAATTTAAATTGTATTAAGGTGCTAATCTCCACACTTAAAAAGAAAGAAAACATGTTTTCGCTAATTTATTTGCACATTTTACCTTTCATCTTAAGTACAGAGACTGGCACTAAAATAAAAATTTATGTCATATCGCTAAAGCGACATCTCTCTATTTCTCAATTATTCATTATATTAATGGCATTTAGGAAAGTGTGTTTGCTGTAGATGGCGCCAAGCATCGCTAAAATGCAATCAAAACAAAATAGATAAGAAATACTGATTTTGCTCGTGAGGATCGACGCTTAGCGGGTAGAGCGTCTGGACGCATTACTCGATTCGAATTCTGACAATGCAGATATATTTCTATGTATAATTTAAATCTTGTCATAATTTAATATCCTCTTTCACTAGGCTTTCTTGTACGATGTAGGTCACCACAACAATTAGTAGGACTCCAATAGTCACTTGTCATCATCAACATCGTAATCATTATTTCAGCCTCGCTGAGTCCACCGCTGAACATAGGCCTTCCTAGCAGACTGCCACGAGGCACAGTCCTAAGCTACTGGCATCCATCAACTTCCCGTACATGTGCACAGGTCGCCACTCCATCTAGTGGTAGGTCGATTTACACTACAGTGGTAACTCGCTATAAAGTAATTCAAACTCCATACTAGAATTACCGGTGGTAGGGCCTCACATAAGCATCTGCTGTTGCACGAGTTTCCAGGCTCGTCCGGTGGAATACCACAGTCTCACACAAGACCGGCGCGCAGTGATTACTACACCGTCGCGTCTGGTGAGTGAGAGCTAACCGGTGTCCACTCAAAGGTTGTCAACGTCACAACGCCCGACGGTAGATGTCCACGGGCGGTGGTAATCACTTAACATCAGAAGCACGTGCTCGCTTGACCTTTCACATAAGAAAAAAACTCGTGGAGAGACCAACCTTGAACCTCAACTCGCCTAGCGGCTGCTTGGCATAGGGCACGCCGCGAAAGCTCGCGTATGCCGTTTCCTTGTCCGCCCACCGCCTCAGCCCGCACACCCATCCGGACTCGGTGAGGGCGCGCACGTCGCAAGCGACGGGCTCCCCGAGAGTGCAGTAAGCTGTAAGGATAAATTTCACCGATTAGCTAAAAACACAGTCGACGGCCATCGGGGTCCCGGTCCGAACCGCAACCTCGATGCCCCTTATATGACACACCATAGTTAAACGCACGCATGAGCACATGCGCGGCCCTACCCACAGCGGAGGGCCCAAACCCGTGGGATCTGGCTAGCCTACCGGTTCTGCGTCAGATGAAGCTTTAATAGTCTCGGGACTGAAAGCAAAAACATCAGTTAATACAAGATACAAGAGAAGGATAAATTTAAACGGATATCAACGCGGTTGTTAGGCCCGTTGTTTCGCGCGAGAGGTCTCGTATTCAATGCATGTGTGCAAAAAGCTTGGAGGACCGCGGTTCAGAAAGGGTGCGACCTGACGACGAGCTCCAGTTTTTAGGACCTATCAGTGCCATATTCGCAAAACCACGCTTCACGGTCAATATTTAGTGGAAAAATTTACTAGCAAACTAGTGGAATAAGGTTCTAAGCATATAATCTACTGTAGGGAACACGCATAGTTGAGAAGTATTAATTATGTTGCGTGACACTTTGTTTTTTTTGTTCATACACGTGTAACCCTAATAGTTTAGTGTTGGGGTGCTCTTAGTTTTAATTCATTATTCTCGATCAACTTGAGTTCAAATCTCCGGTGCCAGCAGCAATGAAATTTTTAAGTTTAAGTGCTGACTTACCACGCCCTATGCGGTGAATAAAACATAATGAAGACAATGAGAAACTGTCAAATTTTCGAAATAAGTAGAAAAAAAATTGGAAATGCAGTCGGGTCGCGTGGTGGTGGTCTATGCTCTAATACCGTACGTACCACAATGTTCAGCAAAAACTGTTATTTTATGGCGATTAGAATATATAATAAATTACCAAATAGATTAAAAACGTTGAAATTAAAATTGTTAAAGCGAAATCTGTTTAACTTTTTGATAAGTAAATGTTACTATTCTACAGGCGATTATTTAAATGATAAAATTTTATAAAAACAGTTTTCCTAGATTATATTTACTTTTGTTTTGTTTTGTATGTTTATAATGTAAAATGAAATATTTGTACACCAGAAATGGTAGAACATAAAGGATCCACAACTTTTAAGACCTATATTGTACTATGTTCTAACAAATAAACGTATCTTTCTTTCTTTCTACCTTTACGACAAAGGAGGCCTTTGCCCAGCGGTGGGACATGTATAGGCTGAGACAAATCTTACTTTACTAAGTCCTTTCTCTGTATCGACGGGCCTGTCTTTATAAGATATCCACACAACCTTCAATCATATGGACTTAAAATCTCGTGAAAAACAATATTACATATACAAAGTCAAAGTAAAAGTGTCTTTATTTAATATAGGCTAAATTTAAGCTCTTATTGCACGTCAAAAGTTAATAATAAATAATAACTCTTATAATAATAAATAGCAAAATATGGCTTGGACATGCTGTTGTTTCTTGACGATCATTCGAGTCATGGCATTATTACTTGGAATCGGTCGCCGTCAGCTATTCCATATAGCCACTGATTTTTTCAGAATCGAACCCGCACTGGTCGAAGACACATACCATCAACAAAACCAGTTCAGTTGTCACTCGTTAAAGTGAATACGCTCCGCCCGTATCGTGTTACAATCCGCAGAAATGTTTCGTTTCGGCTGCGCATTTCATAGGTATCATGTCGTATAGATACCGACAATCGCATACCGGAGTTAAGCTTCGATTTCGTAAATAATACTCTAAAATCTAATTTTTTTATGTGTCTGGAGGTTCAACTGATGTCGAGTCATAACTGCCGCCTTAGGACATTTGCAACACCCTTACGGTTGCAGATGCGTTTTCAATATGAAAAAAGGTTGCAGATTATGTTTGTTGTCTAAAGCCTCAGTACGTTCCACGAACGTGAATTCTGCAAAGTATTCAAAAAGTCGGATAATTTTAAGTTAGCGCCTTATTAAGCCGGCTGTAATCTGAAATTTCTCCTCTGTTTACATCACCTAGCAACAAGTAGCGTCGTCTTCCAAATCTGGCTTTGTTAAGAGCTGAATAGAAACTATTTTACGTCGCGGTCATTCCGCGACAAAGAGTTCGTCGACCGCATATCTGCACTATAACTGATATATTGCTGCTTAGAGCTATTAAACTACAATAGTTGTTAATAAATAACGTTATTTACATTCATCTTGAATAATATTTGCGTCAATTTGAAGTAATAGATCGATTTAAGATCACATTTCGAATAGTCTCGTCCGATTTTTGATCGTTGTGACATAGGTATCGTAATTTTTCCTTCCAAAGTCATCTTCTGCAACGCGTACGATTTTTAAAGCAAAATAAGGGCTCACTACGGCGTTTTTCCCAGACGATACCAGGATGAAAATGGTAACAGATCTTATGAATAGAAAAAACATCTTCTTTTTTCCTTACATCAGAACTGAGTTTTTAAGATAAATCAACTCAGTAACACAAAATTGCATATCTCAAAGCACAGTTATAAATAACAGTGATAACGTCGCGGAAAAATTAGGTCACACAGTTATCTCCGTTAATGTTATATAATAATCAATTTTATTTCCGATTCCATCTGTAATCGGTACACTTGTTTACGCAATTAACGGTCCTCATGTAATGGTATACGTGACGCGTTTGTTTTGATCGACATTAATTTCGGAATGGTCGAGAGATCGTTAAACGTTTAAGTTATAACTCTAACTGGATTGGTGTTGATTTGGATGCATCTATGACATCGTATACAAATCATCTAGGAATTAGGAATCCGACCGACGCTAATGATAATCTTGATCCATGGTTACTTTGTGGCTAAATCGTCGGACTTACAAACTGAACCATTATATTAGAATCTCAGTGCACAGTGCACACATATGAATTTCGTTTTACCGATCTCTTCTATCAAATCAACATTGTACGAGAGTCTTTTTTTTTCTGTAGATGAAGGCAAAAGGCTTAAAAAAACTAGTAGTTTTTGCCAATGCGATTTCGAACGCCCTTTTCATGTAAATTTCTTATTATAGATGACACAGTTACTAAGCTAAGATGCGATACGATTTGGGCACCATCAAGGAGAGAGCATACCCTTTCCTAAAAGGCCGGCAACGCATTTGTAAGCCCTCGGGTGTTGTAGGTGTTCATGGGCGGCGGTAATCACTTACCATCAGCATCACAAAATTCGTAAAACACTACATTCCACTTAATTGTAATAAAGAATGAATTAGTTATATTTATAAATCTATTATATATCAAATTCTCGTGTCACGGTGTTTGTAATTGAAATCCTCCGAAACGGCTCGACCGATTTTCGTGAAATTTTGTGTGCATATCAGCCAGGGTGGAGAATCGTACAACATCTATTTTTCATCCCCCTAAATGTTAAGGTGTGTACACCCCAACCGGGTCAGCTAGCAGTGTATATCATGTTACACGATGCAATGTCTTCATTTGAGTTATAGAAAAGAAAGGAAATTCTAATCACACTTACTTGAAGTTGTTTATTATTATATACTGACGTTAATATTGATTGCCTCTCTCGTTTTAAAGCGGTAAGCGTGCTCACACTAGTGAAGGCCGGTTATCTGCCGGCACGTGTAATCCTGAAGCCTAGGCAACCGGCGACAATTTAACTATATGTGCCCGTCGAAGATAACACGATTATTTAGGTCGTAACGCCTCGTAACGCCATCTTTCGCGCAATCTACCGGCAGCTCGCTCGTTACAGAGGTCACTTGACGGGTCACTAATGTGTAAAAGCTATTTTGAAGTTAAACGTCTTTTGGCGCGTTCATAGAAAATTGTGATACACACAGACAGTCGGAAAGCGACATGGAGTCGATTGCAAAGCGACCAACTTCACATTATTACCATGGCAACCAATAATAACTTTTTGACATTTTCCTATAATTCCAAGTTATTTAGGTAAACCGTTATGATAACGGTTTACGTAAATAACAATATTCTTATTATTTTTTTAAACATCGACCTTACTTTAGGATAACATTGTCCTGTGTTGAAAGGACTTATACATACATAAATTGCACGTGCATAGTCACCCAGATTCGGAACAGTTATCTGTGGGTCACACAAATAGTTGTCTCGAGTGGGAATCGAACCCACGACCCCCGGCGCCGAAGCCAATACCTGCGACATGGAATCATCAATTGTGTTTAATGTATTTTTCTTTAAAAAAAGCACGAGGGATAAACTGTATTTTTCTTTTATTTGCTTTTACATGCTAAAGAAGTATAACTTCTCAGGAACGTACGTAATAAGTACACACATATTCATAATTATATTCATAATTAACAATTTCATTGGTGCCGGACCGGGGATCGAACTCAGGTTGCTCGTGTATATTAAATTTAAATGTATAATGTAGTTTGTAAACATCAGCTTTTTTATGACATCTTTCTGTGCACCTATCTAATATTCTCTGTACCACCCGAAGGTTGGCTGCGAGAAGGATTTTTTTTATGTGAGGAAGTGGCAAACGAGCTGGCGGTTCACCTGATGTTAAGTGATAACCGCCGCCCATGAACAGTTGCAACACCCGAAGGGTTGCAGATGCGTTGCCACCTCTTAATAATGTGGGCCCCGGCTACCTCACTCACCAGACGAAACGCAGAAGTGCAACACTTCTACTTTACGCCGGTCTTCTGTGAGGTCGTGGTACTGACCCGGACAGACCTGCCCATTCGTGCAACAGTGAACACTGTTGCGTGGTCCTACCACCGTGAAAAAATATATAAATTAAGTCCGCCGTTATGCTGTTTGTGCGAAAAGATTAAATAAAATAAATTAAAGGCGAGCGCCGGACACACAGCTATCACTAATATAGATAATGACAATAAAATAATTGCAAACTGAGTATTATATATTTATTTAGCCGTTAAACACAATTCCACTCCATTAATATACGACATTAAAAACGAAATCGAAGAATCGATGCATTCTCTAGTAACGAAATAGATATAACAAAATCCTGACTTG